AGAACGGCCCATTGTTCTGAATTCTGTTGTGTCCATTTCAAAAGTGCTGAACAAATAGGCATATAGACAACGTCCGTCTTAGCTCGCTCATTATTGTCTTAATGGAAATTACAGCTTGCCTCTGATCCGCTCATTGTTCTCTTATGCCATAGTTTGTACATCTCCATTGTTATATTGCTTATATAGGTCTATCTCATTAGTACCTTATTCATTATTTTAGGCAATGTTGGAATGATGCATTTCATTGTTTTGCTTACTTTGTGTATTATAATTAACATGTGCTTTTCTCCATGAGGAGGGGATACTATATAATGTTGTTGGGTCTGTAACCATTTCCAGTGACAGTCTCTTCCCATTCAAATATAATTTTTCTCACAAAATGTTCAGTAATAGACCCATGTAATTCCAGTTGATATTGCGGAGGTTGTTTTGTTTGCGCCATGTGCTCGTGATTGTAATTTCCTTACTTTTTAGATGAAATAGGCCTAATAAAATTATTCAAATGGTAGGCTAACTGTGTCCCCCTCGTCTCTCTCTCTCTCTCTCTGTGGTGACATAAAGAAGAGTAAAGTTAAGGCCTCAACATCTATCTGAATTTCTATTGGTGTCCATTTCGAAAGTGCTGAACGAATAGGCCTACCTTGTCGCAGATCGTTTGCTTACACTTGTTTATACTTAGAGCTAAGTGTTAATGATATAAGAGAAAACCTTATGAATTTACTGAACATAAATGTAATAATGTTTGTGTATGGTTCAAACATCTAAACTCATGTCAGCATTCGTTATTATTGAAGGAGAATGTGGTTCTTATCGAGTTACACATATCCACAAGGAGTCAGTAGAAACAATTTTTATTTAAGCAAGTCAGCCATATCAGCTATGGTTTTTAAAAGGGCAGTAAATGTGGCTGAATGAATTGTTTCGCTGCCAGACGAGGCTCCGCTGATAGCCTGGTGTAGCGGTGGTAAGGATTCACTTCATGGTGCTGAAAGGAATGTTCCGATGTCGGGACAGCTTTATGTAGGCACTAACAGTTTGTGGGCACCGTTGGTCACCGTTATAGCACAATTCATGTATTGTTTAGTGTTGTGTTGTGTAGTGGCTTTACTGGCATGCATCTACAAAAATTGGTTGAGTTTGCCCCACCAAGATTTACATGCTAAAATCACCACTGGCTATATGCTTTAAGTGCACTCATGACCAGAGTCAATGCATCTCCAGTCAGCTGACCATGGGAGGTCTCATCTTCAATTCAAACCACTCAGAAGAAAATATCAATCTTCATCAATATTTCATGGGCTTATAGGATGGAGAATAATGTTCTCAGATAGAATGAATGTTTTCTATCAATGATTTTCTTGCTTGTATTGTGTGGTCTTGTGAACAAAGTTCAATCGCCATCATTCCTGATACACATCATTCCTCATTCATTTCATCCTGGCCCAATGATTTAACATTTCCTGGTTGCAAAAATTCTAATAGTTTGCCTAATTTCAGTTTATGTGACAAAACAAGCAAGTATAATGTAGAGAATCATTGTACCATCTAAACCGCTATCAAAGACATTTTCCATAAACAAAAATATTGTATTTTCAGCTGTATGAAGCTGGTGTACAAAACCAAAAGTAAAAGACGCAAAAACAAAACTTAAGAACGGGAAGCATAGAAATTGCGCACAAACAACAAATCTACTGCTTCTTTGACTTGCTTTCAATGAGAATGACAGATCTATAACTCACATTCCTATGTGAATTTGTTTGGATCGCCCAAAAAGTTACATATTGCAGGTTTGAACAGGAGCTTCTGGCTCTATAAAACGTCTACCCCTCTTGGGCCCTATCAACGCCAGGAGCTTAGTCATCATTTACCCGTGTCGCTCCCTAAAGGCTGGAGTGCATCCACTCCTCCTGCTCTACCAAAATCATGATACTTGGCTTTAGCCCTACATGTCATTCTAAGCCTTAGCACTACTCAGGGCCGGCTCCAGGCATAAGCAACATAAGCGGTCACTTAAGGCCCCATTATTTAAAAAGTAAAGCTTTTTATTAGGAGCTCAGTCGGGGGGCTGAACTTACTGTTGAGAGTTATAATAATAATATAATATGCCATTTAGCAGACGCTATTATCCAAAGCGACTTACAGTCATGTGTGCATACATTTGTACGTATTAGAATAGTAGTAGTTACAAATGTGGTTGTGCATCAGCTATTTTTCTCTTGTTTTACGTCATTTAGCAAACGCTCTTATCCAGAGTGACTTACAGTTAGCGAGTGCATAATTTTTTTTTTTCTTCATACTGGCCCCCCATGGGAATTGAACCCACAACCCTTGCGTTGCAAGCACCATGCTCTACCAACTGAGCTACACGGGGCTATTATGTTATGCTGTTATTATTGTTATGTCAGTCACTGACAGTCACTCAATTAGCCATGTCAGGAAAAAAAATGTGGTTGGTAAGTTAGTCTAGTCAGTAATCATACCCGAATACCGACCTGGCACACAGGGCGCATATCCAGGGGCCCTGACCTCCAGCGGGGCCCCCATTGACTTTTTTAGTCACTCTCACTTAGCTGTCATTAACATGGCATAAGTCATTGCAAAATGTGTAGAATTGCAGGAAATTAGCTTTAAAACTGAAAAAATAAACTGATCTCCACCCCATGGAACAATGGGTAGAATTGTAGAAAATGAGCTGTAAACTGCCAATTTGTTCTCTCTGCCTAATGACAAAATCTGTAGAATTGCATGAAATTAGTTTAAAAATTTCAAAATTTTCTCTCTGCCACAAAATGTGTAGAACTGCAGGAAATGTACCTTAAAACGTACATTTTTCTCTCCGCCGTCAAGAGGGAAGCCACTAAAATGTTTTCGTGTAGTGCTATTTTTTTAGGTGCGGAGCGCCCCCACATTTTTTTTATGATGTCTTCATTTCTCAAACAAAGTTTCTACTGACAGATGTAGGCTATTAAATATCATTGTCACGACTTCCGCCGAGGCTGCCTCCCCTCCTTGTTCGGGCAGGCTTCGGCGTTCGTCGTCACCGGCTTACTAACCACTGCCGCCCCAATTATCATCTCACAATGTCCCATGTAGCTCAGTTGGTAGAGCATGGTGCTTGCAACGTCAGGGTTCGATTCCCACGGGGGGCCAGTATGAAAAAAATGTATGCACTCACTAACTGTAAGTCGCTCTGGATAAGAGCGTCTGCTAAATGACGTAAATGTCTTGTCTTGTCAATCACACACACCTGGTTCTAATCCCCTCATTAGTCTGTGTATAAGTGTTCCCTCTGCCCCCTTGTCCTTGTGGGTGATTGTTTGAACGTGAGAGTAGTGGAGCTACTCGTACCATTTTGTTGCCAGGATAGATATTTCCCCTGTGCCTATGTATTGTATGGAGATACCCTTACAGTGTATTGCCAGGGTAGATAGTTTCCCCTGTGCCTGTTTTGTTTGTCGCTATTCCAGCGTATTTTGTGTAACGAAGGAATAAACTCTGTATTCGGTGATTACCCTCCTGTGCCTGACTCCTTCCATCACACTCATCACAATCATTATATGCTGAACAAAAATATAAACGCAACATGCAACAATTTCAACGATTTTTACTGAGTTACAGTTCATATAAGGAAATCAGTCAATTTAAATAAATGAATGAGGCCCTAATCTATGGATTTCACATGAATGGGCAAGGGCGCAGCCATGGGTGCAGCCATAGGCCCACCTACTTGGGGGTCAGACCCACCCACTGGGGAGCCAGTCAGAATGAGTTTTTTCCACACAAAAGGGCTTTATTAAAGACAGAAATACTCCTCAGTTTCATCAGCTGTCCGGGTGGCTGGTCTCAGACGATCCCGCAGGTGAGGAAGCTGGATGTGGAGGTCCTGGGCTGGCGTGGTTACACGTGGTCTGCATTTGTGAGGCCAGTTGGGCGTACTGCCAAATTCTCTAAAACAACATTGGAGGTGGCTTATGGTAGAGAAATGAATATTCATTTTCTGGCAACAGCTCTGGTGGACATTCCTGCAGTCAGCATGCCAATTGAACGCTCCCTCAAAACTTGAGACATCTGTGGCATTGTGTTGTGTGACAAAACTGCACATTTTAGAGTGGCCTTTTATTGTCCCCAGCACAATTATTATTATTATTTTTTTGGTCATTTTAGCAGACACTCTTATCAAGCACGACTTACAGTTATTTTTTTATTTTTCATACTGGCCCCCCGTGGGAATCGAACCCACAACCCTGGCGTTGCAAACGCCATGCTCTACCAACTGAGCTATATCCCTGCCGGCCATTCCCTCCCCTACCCTGGACGACGCTGGGCCAATTGTGCGCCGCCCCAGTCTCCCGGTCGCGGCCGGCTACGACAGAGGCACAGCTAGCACTGCGATGCAGTGCCTTAGACCACTGCGCCACTCGGGAGTCATTACACAAGGTGCACCTGTGTAATGATCATGCTGTTTAATCAGCTTCTTGATATGCAACACCTGTCAGATGGAGGGATTATCTTGGCAAAGGAGAAATGCTCACTAACATTGATGTAAACTAATTTGTGCACAACATTTTTGTACATTTCTGGGATTTTTTATTTCAGCTCATGAAAAATGGGACCAACACTTTACATGCTGTGTTTATATTTTCGTTCAGTAGAATATGCATAAAATGCATCCTCCAATTGCAACGTCTGCCTATGTCTACACATATTGTCTCAAGAAAATGTTATATTTTTAATACCCTCAAACCCAAGTTAGGCATCCCAAATTTCAAAATAGGCCATCATCACTGTCAATCGTGAATGGTCCCCCAAAAGGCTAGAGCCAGCCCTGGTACCATTGATGGCAGAGTGCAGGCTGCTCTAAAGCAGAACTCCCCAGGTGAGATTACAGCTCAGTGTGGCAGCTGTTTCCAGCCCTGACACCTTTTATTCAGGTAATGCGCTTAAGTTATTTACAGGCACGCAGGCGGCATAGGTTGCTTTGTTTATTATCTTTCCTGCAGCTCTCACTTCTCCCTGCACCTAGATAGGGTGTGTGAGATAGATAGGTGGTAGACACAACAAGCAGACCACACAGACTGATGGAAGTAGCCTATAAATGGTCCTACAGCTCCCCAGCCAAATTATACTCATCGGACAAAAATATTAAAGACAGAGCTACTGGTCAGCCCAATGAGCCCATAACCTGTCTTTATAGACTCTTATCTTGGCATGGACAAAGGCAAGCTTTTCCTGTTGTCACCTTTTCTCGGAATGAGCACTAATGAGTGGAAAGGTGAGGCTACCCTACTGTACAGTGCATGCATAACGGCTGTATAATTGTTGCCCTCCCAACAATAGAATCCTAATATAATGCAATAAAATCATCCCAAATAGGTGACACATTCAGTCACAAAACAATATAATATAAAGCCTATCGTTTACTTCGACATTAGCTACAATCACAGCTCGCATCGTTCCGTATCCCTCAACAAATAACCGCTACTGTAATCAGCAAGGGCCATCATCTTCCAAATTGCTACATTCAAAGGAATATATTTGAAAGCCTACTTACATGTATAGTAGGCTACTTTTCAAAGTAACACCTCCTCAGAGAGAATCGCATCACGAGCAGGTTCCCTTTCCAAATGGTCCGAATCCCGGACCAACAGTGTCACTTGCAGCTAAACTCGCACGTCTGCGCTTTGGCTTTCATCGATTTGCTGACGTTTTAACGCACTAGTTTTTTCTTCTTCAAAGTCAAGATATATAATAGGTATAATTTTGTCTTTGTTGCGAAAGCATGAGGGGGACCACTCATTTCCCCAATGTACAACGCTGTAATACAGCCCTCTTCACTAACGAAGTCTCCTTGGAAACAGGGCACAGGACAAGCCTTGCGCTGATGCTGATTGCCAGAATGAAAAAAAGCTTTATTCACGGTAGTGTGTGTCCCTCTACGTGGGTGTCCCCTTGGTCCTCTCCTATGGTTCACTCTCAGAAATCAAAAGAGCAGAAAGTAGAGACTTGGCCTACATTTGTAAAATGGGGTGGGGGGCATTTTGCATAGGTGGGCTTTCATAGGCTACCCAAAAATCCTACACATTTAATATAATGTCCAGTGACAATTAGAAATGTGTTATATATCACTGTTACATTGTGTTGTTGCTTTGTTTAATTTATCACACTGACACTATTGTCACCAGGCCTATAAGCAGGTTATGCTCCATTCAGCTCACAATAGAAGATGAAACCTGGTCATGAATGGACATATCTTAGTTGTAAAGTCAGCCACTCAGCCTGCAATATCCTGTTACACAGCCCGACACTGGATCCTATGGTGAAAAAAGGGGCAGGGGGTATTCTCTCTCTCCCTGCCTGGCTATTAACTTACTACACATGGAGGACCCTCCTTTGTGTCCCACCATTACCATTAGGGGAAGTTGAACATTGTCGCTTGGATTTGAGTAAAATCAACCTTCCACAGTTCAAGGGCAATCCCTGGCAACTGATATCAAATAAAATAAAATAAAATGTATTGTTCACATACACATGGTTAGCAGATGTTATTGCGAGTGTAGTGAAATGCTTGTGCTTCTAGTTCCGACAGTGCAGCAATATCTAGCAAGTAATTTCTAACAGTTCCACAACAAAAACGTAATACACACAAATCTAAGTAAAGGAATGGAATAAGAATATATAAATATATGGATGAGCAATGTCATTATCAGAGTGGCATAGGCTAAGATGCAATAGATAGTATAGAATACAGTATATACAGTGGGGGGGAAAAGTATTTATTCAGCCACCAATTGTGCAAGTTCTCCCACTTAAAAAGATGAGAGAGGCCTGTAATTTTCATCATAGGTACACGTCAACTATGACAGACAAAATTAGGAAGAAAAATACAGAAAATCACATTGTAGGATTTTTTATGAATTTATTTGCAAATTATGGTGGAAAATAACTATTTGGTCAATAACAAAAGTTTCTCAATACTTTCAACTCCCTCCAAAGATGTTTTATGGGGTTGAGATCTGGAGACTGGCTAGGCCACTCCAGGACCTTGAAATGCTTCTTACGAAGCCACTCCTTCGTTGCCCGGGCGGTGTGTTTGGGATCATTGTCATGCTGAAAGACCCAGACACGTTTCATCTTCAATGCCCTTGCTGTTGGAAGGAGGTTTTCACTCAAAATCTCACGATACATGGCCCCATTCATTCTTTCCTTTACGCGGATCAGTCGTCCTGGTCCCTTTGCAGAAAAACAGCCCCAAAGCATGATGTTTCCACCCCCATGCTTCACAGTAGGTATGGTGTTCTTTGGATGCAACTCAGCATTTTTTGTCCTCCAAACACGACGAGTTGAGTTTTTACCAAAAAGTTCTATTTTGGTTTCATCTGACCATATGACATTCTCCCAATCCTCTTCTGGATCATCCAAATGCACTCTAGCAAACTTCAGACGGGCCTGGATATGTACTGGCTTAAGCAGGGGGACACGTCTGGCACTGCAGGATTTGAGTCCCTGGCGGCGTAGTGTGTTACTGATGGTAGGCTTTGTTACTTTGGTCCCAGCTCTCTGCAGGTCATTCACTAGGTCCCCCCGTGTGGTTCTGGGATTTTTGCTCACCGTTCTTGTGATCATTTTGACCCCACGGGGTGAGATCTTGCAGTTGTCCTTGATGATCTTTTTGGCCTTCCTGTGACATCAGGTGCTGTAGGTGTCCTGGAGGGCAGGTAGTTTGCCCCCGGTGATGCGTTGTGCAGACCGCACCACCTTCTGGAGAGCCCTGCGTGTGTGGGCGGTGCAGTTGCCGTACCAGGCGGTGATACAGCCCGACAGGATGCTCTCAATTGTGCATCTGTAAACGTTTTTGAGGGTTTTAGGTGACAGACCAAATTTCTATAGCCTCCTGAGGTTGAAGAGACGCTGTTGCGCCTTCTTCACCACACTATCTGTGTGGGTGGACCATTTCAGTTTGTCAGTGATATGTACGCCGAGGAACTCAAAACTTTCCACCTTCTCCACTGCTGTCCTGTCAATGTGGATAGGGGTACTCCCTCTGCTGTTTCCTGAAGTCTACGATCATCTCCTTTGTTTTTTTGACGTTGAGAGAAGTCATTTTCCTGACACCACACTCCGAGAGCCCTCACCTCCTCCCTGTAGGCTGTCTCATCGTTGTTGGTAATCAAGCCTACTACTGTTGTGTCGTCTGCAAACTTGATGATTGAGTTGGAGGCGTGCATGGCTACGCAGTCATGGGTGAACAGGGAGTACAGGAGGGGGCTGAGCACCCAGCCTTGTGAGGCCCAGTGTTGAGGATCAGCGAAGTGGAGATGTTGTTTCCTACCTTCACCACCTGGGGGCGACCCGTCAGGAAGTCCAGGACCCAATTGCACAGGGTGGGGTTGAGACCCAGGGCCTCAAGCTTGATGATGAGCTTGGAGGGTACTATGGTGTTGAATGCTGAGCTATAGTCAATGAACAGCATTCTTACATAGGTATTCCTCTTGTCCAGATGGGATAGGGCAGTGTGCAGGCGATTGCATCATCTGTGGACCTATTGGGGCGGTATGCAAATTGAAGTCGGTCTAGGATGACAGGTAAGGTGGAGGTGATATGATCCTTGACTAGTCTCTCAAAGCACTTCATGATGACAGAAGTGAGTGCTACGGGGCCATAGTCATTTAGTTCAGTTACCTTTCCATTCTTGGATACAGGAACAATGGTGGCCATCTTGAAGCATGTGAGGACAGCAGACTGGGATAGGGAGAGATTGAATATGTCCGTAAACACACCAGCCAGCTGGTCTGCGCATGCTCTGAGGACGCGGCTAGGAATGCCGTCTGGGCCGGCAGTCTTGCGAGGGTTAACATGTTTACATTTCTTACTCACGTCGGCCACTAAGAAGGAGAGCCCACAGTCCTTGGTAGCTGGCCGCGTCGGTGGCACTGTGTTATCTTCATGGCGGGCAAAGAACTTGTTTATCTTGTCTGGCAGCAAGACGTCGTGTCCGCGACGTGGCTGGTTTTCCTCTTGTAGTCCGTGATTGTCTGTAAACCCTGCCACATACGTCTCCTGTCTGAGCCGTTGAATTGCGACTCCACTTTGTCTCGATATTGACGTTTTGCCTGTTTGATTGCCTTGCGGAGGGAACGACCACTCTGTTTGTATTCTGCCATATTCCCCGTCACCTTGCCGTTGTTAAATGCGGTGGTTCTTGCTTTCAGTTTTTCGCGAATGCTGCTTTCTGTCCACGGTTTCTGGTTACGGTAGATTTTAATAGTCACAGTGGTTATGACATCTCCTTTACACTTCCTTATAAACCCATATCACCATACGATTGCCTTTGTTTCCCTCCATCCATGTTAACAAAACCCCTACTGCTTTCCTTTCACATGGATGGGACTCTCGTCATGGATACCATACACTGCTATGCCTATGGCCTATGCAAGTTTCTGGTTGGGTCTACAAGAAGTACTGCACTGTACACATTTGCGCAATATCTCTGTCTCTCTATTTCCCTCCCCTCTCATTTATGTTTCACCGTTCTCCACTCCACCCTATGATTTTATCTCTACTAACTGTAAGTCGCTCTGGATAAGAGCGTCTGCTAAATGACTAAAATGTAAATGTAAAATGTATAGGCCTTTTACCCTTCTACCTCGCCTGATTCTTTCTCTTTCATTATGTTGCCAATTGTCTCTCTCATTCCCTCCCTCCCTCTCTGTCTCTCTACCTGGTTGTCATTTACAGTAACACACCACACTTGACGTAATTCTCCAACAACATAGTCCAGACGAAGCTGATGGGATTGGCACTTCAACCTTTTCAGCTCTTTGAGGTGATTCGGGCATATACAGTTACAGTGACCAATGTTATCATATGAATGTGGTCTTGACTTGCATAATCTTCACATTCTCATTCTCTACAATTGATCCTCTAGCTAGCCTACTGTTTGATGGGGGTACATACGCTATGGCTTGTGCAGACACAGCAAAAGTACAGACACAGCAGGCATTAAAGGATTAGGATTCATTAGCAGTTTAGGAAAGGAAAATAGCATATTATTACCACCACAAGGCTTTGGGGTAAGAGCCTGCCCCGTAGGCTCAGCTAGTCCATCGTCATAGTAGCAAATGACTGTAACTAATTAATTACTTAGACCACCTGTTCAGAGCATTGGCCTACTAGGCTACTGTATCTCTCTCTCTCTCATTGTCTTGAGAATCACTATTTTTAACAATGCAAACAATGCTGTTCTGTTTGAGAAAAAAAAATCAACTTAAAAATCAACAATATTATATACATATATATATAAATATATATATATATATATATATATATATATATATATATATATATATATATATATATACTGTATGTTGTCTTTAATAAAATTAAAAGCTCTAAGAGTTGAAAATGGTTAAAGGCCCAGTGCAGTCAAAATCAAGATTTTTCTGTGTTTTATTTCATATTACAATATCTGATGAAACTAACACTGTAAAAGTATGAAAACAAATTATCAGTCTTATTTCCTGATAGTTGCTGGTTGAAAATACTATCTACAAAGGACCTTCTAATCAGCAGGTTTGCATGGGCGGGAGTTTTGGCTTTCCATGGTGACATCACCATGAGGTAAATTGGTTAATGGACTAATAACAAAGAGAGTTCCAAACCTCTCTGCCAATAACAGATAGTTTTCAGTTTGAGTTTTTTGCTTAAAATCTATTTGACCATTTTAATGGAAAGCTATTACAGTAAGGTAGCCTACTTAATTGTTCCCCAGAAATTATTTGATATTGTTATAAAAACATCTGCATTGGGCCTTTAAGTGTTTGGCTGTGTTTGTTTGGCTACTTATTATAGGCACATCACTACTTTGGAGCAGGCCATCGACGACTCCTCTCCATCACACTGTTCTGTGTGATGTTGTCATATACACTACATGACCAAAAGTATGTGGACACCTGCTTGTCGAACATCTCATTCCAAAATCATGGGCATTAATATGGAGTTGGTCACCCCTTTGCTGCTATAACAGCCTCCACTCTTCTGCGAAGGCTTTCCACTAGATATTGGAACATTGCTGCGGGGACTTGCTTCCATTCAGTCACAAGAGCATTAGTGAGGTTGGACACTGATTAGTGAGGTCGCAGTCAGCGTTCCAATTAATTCCAAAGGTGTTCGATGGGGTTGAGGTGAGGGCTCTGTGCAGGCCAGTCAAGTTCTTCCACACCGATCTCGACAAACCATTTCTGTATGGACCTCGCTTTGTGCACGGAGGCATTGTCATGCTGAAACAGGAAAGGGCCTTCCCCAAACTGTTGGCACAAAGTTGGAAGCACAGAATTGTCTAGAATGTCATTGTATGCTGTAGCGTTAAGATTTCCCATCACTGGAACTAAGGGGCCTAGCCCGAACCATGAAAAACAGCCCCAGACCATTATTCCTCCAGCACCAAACTTTACAGTTGGCACTATGCACTGGGGCAGGTAGCGTTCTCCTGGCATCCGCCAAACCCAGATTCGTCTCTCAGACTGCCAGATGGTGAAGCGTGATTCATCACTCCAGAGAACGCGTTTCCACTGCTCCAGAGTCCAATGGCGGCGAGCATTACACCAGTCCAGCTGACGCTTGGCATTGCGCATGGTGATCTTAGGCTTGTGTGCAGCTGCTCGGCTGAAGCTTCCTTCGAACAGTTCTTGTGCTGAACAGTTCTTGTGCTGACGTTGCTGCCAATGGCAGTTTGGAACTCGGCAGTGAGTGTTGCAACCGAGGACAGATGATTTTTACGCACTATGCGCTTCAGCACTCGGCAGTCCTGTTCTGTGAGCTTGTGTGGCCTACCACTTCGCAGGTGTTGCTCCTAGACATTTCCACTTCACAATAACAGCACTTTCAGTTGACGGGGCAGCTCTAGCAGGGCAGAAATTTGACGAAATTGACTTGTTGGAAAGGCGGCATCCTATGAAGTCATCTTTGATCCAGATGACTTCAAACTAGCCTATATTTTGTATATATAGTGTAAAAGCTCCATAAATATAAAACACTTGAAAGGTTATGACACAGAGTTTCTAAACCCAGAGGCGCAACAACGCGAGACTCCCGGGAATGCTTACGAAACAGACCAAACCGACCAGGCCTGTGTTTGGGTTTGATAAGTCAATGAGAGAATTGAAAGATTCTTCATTAGTTGTGAATTTTCTCAAAATCTAAAGGCACAACTTAGATTTGACACAATGTCTTAAGTAGTTTAACATGTTATTACTCCAACGTCTTGAAAGTGACAAAACTAAAACGTTTCATTTTCGTAAAAATCTACTTTATATCGAAGGCGTGCCTTTGATTTGACGGCCTGCACATGCGCGGTTCGGCGCGAGACGACCGTTAGACCTGATGACGTGTTTCTGCGGCTGAGTTTAGCTAGCCAACGTCGCCATGACATCGCCTACAAGTGTGATCGGGGATTTCTATTTGAGAAGCAGTTCTTCATACTGTACTGTACTGTTTTACGCAAACCCATGTCATGTGACAATAGCCCTGAAACTACTTTTGCCTGAAATGCTCCAATTGTTGATTGACAGGTCTTTGAACGAATCAGAAAACGCAAATAGACCAGTCTGACCAATCAGAACGAAGAAAGGGCAGAACTTAGCTCTTGAAGTCCATACTTCGGTCATAGATGGTATCGAATGGACGTGGAAAGTTTCATGTTGGTAACATATGGTTGAAACCTTTATTAGAATATGAATGGAACAACATACTCAAACTTTGATAATCAAGAACATGTTTTGAAATTAGGCGAAACATTTGAGAAACAACCCAAAGGCGCTTACCACACGGTGCGATGTAAGTGGCATTTTGATCATACTTGCTAGCTAGCTTGCTATGCTAATAATAGCTAGCTAACGCTAAGCCCCCAAAATATACGATTTAAATTAAATAACTAGCTAGTTCGTCTAAATCGATGTCACTTTATTAACAGTGATCCATTTAGAGTCCTTAGTTTAAACCGTACTATTACATGTTTGTACTTTTGATTGGGCTTTTGGCTAGCCACACTTGTTTCTGGCATCCATTGATCCATTTGAGTAGCTACAACAATAGTGGTGGCCTTGTGGCACCATCTGTTGATGAACAGTGGTAACTTCAACTTCATTTTTATCAGAATTAACCAAACCAATGATGTTTTCGTGCGTAGTCTTCAGTCTGCCCATATACGTTGCTGTGTAATTCAGTAGTTTGGAGCTCATACTGTTATTTTATCTCTTTGATCCAGATGACTTCAAACCAGCCTCCATTGACACAGCCTGTGAGGGGGAGCTGGAGGTGGGAAAGGGAGAACAAGTTACTATCACACTGCCCAATCTGGAGGTAAGAATTAAGCCTTAAAAAGTGCACATTAATTATTCTCCCCCTTTAATCTCGATATCCATTGATCAACTGATTTCCTTGATTTACCCTTTTACCCAGGGATCCACTGCCCCTGTAACAGTCTTCAAAGGATCCAAGAGGCCTTATATGAAGGAATGTATTCTCATCGTAAACCACGATACAGGAGAGTACCGTCTGGAGAAACTCAACAGCAACATTGCTGTCAAGAAGACCAGGTGGGTGGACAGAGTACGGTCGAATCGTGTTTATTTGGGTACACTGTAGCAAAACATTTTTGCAATGGAAAAAATAATTAGCATTTCTTATTGGACACTAACTCCCCATTTCGAACTGCTTCCTTCTCTTTCTAGATTCTCTTGTCATTCTGATTTGCAATCTCAGTTGTGTGTGTGTGTTGTCAGGGCTGAAGGAAGCAGTAAGATCCAGTCTCGTATAGAGCAGCAGACCAGTCGTTTGAGCCAGCAGATGAAGACTAGTGGTAATGGCAGCAGCAGCAAGACCCCAGCAGGCTCCAAGAGCTCTCCTCCCAAAGAGAAGATGTCCCCTGCCTCCCCCATGGATGATATTGAGCGAGGTATGTAGACCACCAGTAGAGCATCATGGATAAAAGCTTTCCTTCTTTCAAACCATCTACACAAAAACAAAAATATAAACGCAACAGGTAAAGTGTTGGTTCCATGAGCTGAGAGTATTTTCCATACGCACAAAAATCGTATTGCTTTCAAATTTTGTGCACAAATTTGTTTACATCCCTGTTAGTGAGAATTTCACTAATCCATCCACCTGACAGGTGTGGCATATCAAGAAGCTGATTAAACAGCATGATCATTACACAGGTGCACCTTGTGCTGGGGACAATAAAAGTCCACTCTAAAATGTGCAGTTTTGTCACACAACGCCACAGATGTCTCAAGTTTTTAGGGAGTGTGCAATTGGCATGCTGACGTCTGGAATGGACGTCTGGAATGTCCACCAGAGCTGTTGCCAGAGAATTGAATGTTTGTCTCTACCAATGTCGTTTTAGAGAATTTAGCAGTACATCCAACCGGCCTCACAACCGCCGACTACATTTATGGTGTTGTGTGGGTTAGTGGTTTGCTGATGTCAACGTTGTGAACAGTCCCTTATGGTGGCGGTAGGGTTATGGTATGGGCAGGCATAAGCTACGGACAATGAACACAATGTTATCGATACCGCGATGAGATCCTTTTTTTTTTTTTTTTTTTTTTTTTTTGGTTATCTGTGACCAACAGATGCATATCTGTATTCCCAGTCGTGTGAAATCCATAGATTAGGGCCTAATTTATTTATTTCAATTGACTGATTTCCTGATATGAACTGTAACTCAGTAAAATCTTTGAAATTGTTGCATTTTATATTTTTGTTCAGTATAGATTCTAGTCCATGGTCATATAAATGAAACAATTGCTATGTTTGTAAATCCTCTTGTGTTGTGATTCAAGATCAGAGGTGACATCACTGTTTTTCTGTGTGTCCGCGTGTCTGTTCCTGTATGAGTGTGTCTGTATGTGTGTGTCCGTCGTTGTCTCTTTGTGTGTGTGTGTCCGTTGTTGTGTATCTCTGTGTGTGTCTGTGTGCTACAGAGCTAATGGCGGAGGCGCGGGTCATGGACCAGATGAGTAGTGGGGACTCGTCCTCAGACTCCCACAGCTCCTCATCCTCCAGTAGTGGGGACAGTTCCAGCAGTAGTGACTCTGAGGACGAGTCCCGGCGCCCCCCTCCCCCTGGGGGTCCCCCCACAGGGCCACCACCCCACCAGGGCATGCCTATCCTCACCACCGTCACCACCACCACCACCTCCTCCCAACCATCACCAACTCGCAGTGGAGGACACCTATTGAGCACACTAAGTAAGTTCATCCTTCTCTCTTTCGTTCTCTCTCTCTCTCTTACTCTGTGTGTCCGTCTCTCCTCGCCTTTAAAATTTGAATAATTCGCTTAATTTCAGTTTGTGACAAAACAATAATCATTATACCATCTAAACCACTCTGAAATATCATTTCAATAACCAAAAATATTGGATTTTCAGCTGTTTGAAGCTGGTGTACAAAACAGAGTAAAAGACACAAAGACTAAACTTAAGAACAGGAAGCATAACATCTTAGACTTGCTTTCAATTAGAATTTGGTCGGTCGCCCAAAAAGTTACATATCGCAGCTTTAAATACTTGAATGTAAAATAGAACCATTCTATATTTGTATTGCCATATCAGAAATTCTATTTGCATTACTGTGGATGTAGGCTAGGGTTGGGCGATGTCTGGAATGACACATCGTCCCATCGACCTGTCCAAACATTGTTGATATTCGATTGTATCGTCAATTCTTTTTAAAACCCGGGGCTGGGGGGGAGTGTGTTGTTGTGTTGCCTAGCAATGCAGTAAACGATCTGTAATGGAGTCTCTGTGTCATGCACAAATCACCCGATTAGAGTGTTATCATTAGACTACAATGTGGAAATCATCTTACCAATATTATATTTTCTTGTGTGCAAATAAATTTAATAAATACAAACCAATCATATGTTGATATGTGGTACTGATAACTTTGAATGGTGATTTGGAACCAAACATTGTAGGCTTACAGTGTGATACGAGACCCTTTCAATGGTGATTTCGGACAATTTCGACTGAGATCAAGTGCGCATGTTCACCATAGAAGACATCAATGGGCAGTCTTCTTGGGAGAGCTAAGTAAACAGCCACACTACCTACTCAAAGATGTAATCAGAGGAGATGATGACCCACTGGTTTGGTGGAGAGGGAATGATGGTCGCTTTCCGCTCTTGCCAACTTTGCCTGCAAATACCTCTGCATCTGTGCAAAAAGCATTCCGTTTGAATGTGTTTTCAGTAGGCCAACAGCAGGCAATATTGTTACTCCACTCTGCTGTCTATTAAAGCTAGAAAAGGTCAACATGCTTGTGTTCCTTGACAGAACTTTAGGTCAGCTAATATATAATGACAAAACTAGTCAGAATGGTTCTTCGTTGCACTTTTAATTTTAATTTTCAAAGCCTGTATTCATAGATGCATCTTATTCGAAATAAATGTAGCCTAGGCCAAAATATTTTGTTGTGTGCCTTAAAATACTTATTTGCAGTGTAATGTTTTGGGTTAATTTCATACTTATTTTGTTTATTTATTTTGTAATTTGTAGCCTACCCAAAGGTGGGTTATTATTTTTTATAGGCGACATTTCTTTTTTGTTCCCGCTTATCGAAAGAGCTGCTTTTGGAGCCAGTTGCGCAAAAGGACATGAATAAACACTTCCACAGAAATATTCATTTATAAGTTTAACTTGTACAAGTAACGTTTACTCTATTGACTGTAGCCTAGTGTAGGTCTATAATATTGGCTGTTTGGTTTACAAGGATTTTCCAGCTGCACACAATTCGTTTTTCCTAAAGCTTTGGTCAGGTGGAGGCCAGAAACGTACAAGATTTGTTAAACTTCCCATTCGATTATTCTATCTGGCAATTGTTGGTACTCTCTTTCTCATTATTACCATATCATGTTTTTATTTAGGCTATTCACAAACAACATAAAACTTTCTGAGATAGAACTCTGTTATTGGACTCCTAGATTCATTTGAAAGTTGGTCATGACATTTTGCACAACTTATTTTTAATGTAAGGCCTATACAGAACTCAAACAGGCTAGAAGTGTGTATTTCCAGTATTGTAACATGGTGTGGGGGTGTTGATGTTTAATGCACCACTTGAACGCAATGGTTTTATAACTTTCCTACTTCCACCTTTTTACAGAGAATGACCTGCAATTAAGTGAGTCTGGCAGTGAAAGTGACGATGACTGACCAGTGAGTGACCACTATAATGCTGTGGGTGTATTAGAGAGGTCAGTCTGTGGACCGCTGCACTGACCTCCACATGGATGGGTGTCCTTTAGGGTCACAACAGGAGTGGAATGAGAAGAGGGAATATGGATGTGATCTTCTTAATGCCAAACAAGACTGCACCCCTACACCTCCGGAAGCAACACCCCTCAGCACCCCACCAGCATTTCAGTTTAATGTCTTAATAGTTCTATCTGTTAGTGCCTTTTTGACAGACATGGGCCAATATTGTGATCAATTCTCTTATCTACACATTTTAACTGGATTATTTTCACTGTTCATTTTAGTATTTACTAGTTACTACTAGTTGGCCAAAGTGAACTGGGAACCATACTGCTGATTCGAACAGACGAGGTACTGCTGTTATCAAGGATGAGCCACATTAATATCAGTATGGATATTCCCCTGCATTCGCTCATTTGGAAAGACTTCAAGCATCATAGCGTCAGTGTTTCATGAGTTGTAGTACTTAGCCTTTCTGCTGTGACTGCTGTGAAATAATTACTCTTAAAGTATAGGGGATAGGTTGAAGCAGTCTTATCATTTATTTTATTAGGAATTATCTTTAATGTTACTTTTTTGGTTTAATATATGGCCTAGCAACATATCAAGGTAGGGGGTATTTGAGGAAACTAGTGCACTACTTGAAATTGATTGATTTAGCCTAGTGTGGGGTAAATGCAACTTAAAGATTTTGCTCAGTGCTGCTATGTAATGTATTTGAAAGATGACTTGGCTTTGTAGCTTTAAACCTTCAATACTTGAATCTGACTTATGATTATTTATATTTTACATATTTACTCAGAAAGACCAACAGCTTAATATATTCTATGGGCATCAGAGCAATGGGAGTGTACGTACACTCCTATAGCCTGATGCCAGTGAGTCTTACAGCACTGCCTTTCCATTTACTACTATCTCTTCTGTTGTTACAGGGGCGTGTCTCAAAAGGGTTTCCTTGATTCCTTACTGATTTGATTCATCAACTCGTTCTCAAAATGCATTGGAGAAGGCTTGAGGAGAGGAAGCTTGGATCTTCTCCATTGCGTTTTAAGAAAGAGGCGATTCATCAAGGAATTCATGAGACGCGTGAGGAATCCAGGAAAGACTTCTGAGAAAGAGCCCAGGTCATATCTCATATCCTGCTATTGCACCATCTCTGTAAACAGGAAATTTGTGTTTGTTAGAACATGTGGTGCGTCGCAATAATCTCTCCTTTCTCCCGAAGTGTGCACTTGTTCACGTCCCTTCATGGATTTGAAAGGAAATCACTGGCATATGGAAACTCCTCCTAGCCCATGTCTACAACAATCCAATGCCTTTATATTTGTGGGGAGTTGTGAACGAGTGCACACTTCAGGAGAAAGGAGAGATTATTGGGATATAACAACCATGGCTTGTCTAATAACAAACTCGGGCCACTGGGAAAGAATGTGAGAGAGTGAGGAAACAGCCTTTGATTCTGACTGGATAAATAACGAGAAATGGTAATAAAAGTAATATGTTTTTACTATTGGAAGAATTGTGGATTCAGTAGGTGGTCATGAATAAGCAACTATTTTGACTATTCTTTTCTTTGTAGATAAATAAAATGTTCAATTGTTTGTCAGCATTTGTGTTAGTTCTCTTTTATTTATCTTATTATATGATGGAATACTTTATTATGCATTATTCTCTCACTCAAGGTGATGGGGGGGGGGGACCCAGCTGCTGTGCAATACTAATGTAATGCAAAAACTTTGCAAAGGAGAAATACAGCCAGAGATGGGTGGCATGTCTGGTGAGTATGCAGGCCATGGAAGAACTGGGACATTTTCAGCTTCCAGGAATTGTGTTGTACAGATCCTTGCGACATGGTGTCATGCATTATCATGATGAAACATGAGGCGATGGCGGTGGATGAATGGCACTGCAATGGGCCTCAGAATCTCGTCACGGTATCTCTGTGCATTGAAATTGCCATCAATAAAATGCAGTTGTGTTTGTTGTCCGTAGCTTATGCCTGCCCATACAATAACCCCACTGCCACCATGGGGCACTCTGTTCACAACGTTGACATCAGCAAACAGCTCGCCCACACAACGCCATCTGCCTGGTACAGCTGAAACTGGGATTAATCATTGAAGAGCACACTTCTCCAGCGTGCCAGTGGTAATTGAAGGTGAGCATTTACCCACTGAATTCAGTTATGACGCCGAACTGCAGTCAGGTCAAGACCCTGGTGAGGACAAAGAGCACGCAGATGAGCTTCCCTGAGACGGTTTCTGACAGTTTGTGCAGAAATAATTAGGTTGTGCAAACCCACAGTTTCATCAGCTGTCCTGGTGGCTGGTCTCGGCCGATCCCACAAGTGAAGAAGCTGGATATGGAGGTCCTGGGTTGGCGTGGTTATACGTGGTCTGTGGTTGTGAGGCCAGTTGGATGTACTGCCAAATTCTCTAAAACGACATTGGAGGAGGCTTATGGTAGAGAAACGAACATTAAATTATCTGGCAACAGCTCTGGTGGACATTCCAGACGTCAGTGTGCCAATTGCACACTCCCTCAACTTGAGACATCTGTGGCATTGTGTTGTGTGACAAAACAGCACATTTTAGAGTGGCCTTTTATTGTCCCCAGCACAAGGTGCAACTCTGTAATGATCATGCTGTTTAATCAGCTTCTTGATATGCCACACCTGTCAGGTGGATGGATTATCTTGGCAAAGGAGAAATGCTCACTAACAGGGATGTAAACAAATTAGTTCACAACATCTGAGAGAAATTCGTTTTTTGTGCATATGGAACATTTTTGGGATCTTTTATTTCAGAGCATGAAACATGGGTCCAACACTTTGTTCTGTATATATTTACCGGAGGACAGTGGAGCGGTGTGCGCTTTCCTAGTTGACATGCTTTGTGCCCTGGCTGCGCAACATGTGATTTTTTGGGAATCTGATTGGTCAAGACAGAGATCAGAACCTGCAGCATTCTAATATAAAGGACAGCAATGCTTACATAGCACGCAAGATGACAAATAGAGCCTCACGAGCAGAGGCGATTTTAGCATGTAAATCTTGGTGGGGCAAACTCAACCAATTTCTTTTAGAAGCATGCCAGCAAAGCCGCTACACAACACAACACTAAACAATACATTAATTGCGCTATAACGGTGACCAACGGTGCCCACAAACTGTTAGGGCCTACATAAAGCTGTCCCGACATCGGAGCTTTCCTTTCAGCACCATGGAGTGAGTCATTACCACAGCTACACCTGGCTATCAGCAGAGCCTCATCTGGCAGCGAAAAAGTTCACTCAGCTTCATTTACTGCCTTTTTAAAAACCATAGCTAATATGGCTGTCTTGCTTAAATAAATATGGTTTCTACTGACTCCTTGTGGATTTGTGTAACTTGATAAAAAACGCATTATCCTTCAACAATAACGAATGCCAACATGAGTTTTGACTTTTGAACAATACACAAACATTATTACATTTATGTTCAGTAAATTCATACACTCTAAAAATTAGGGGTTCAACAAGGGTTCTTCTAAGATACTCAAAGTTCTTTGAAGAACCTTAGGGTTCTTGGAACTGAAAATTGCCCCCAAAAGGTTCTTCCAAGAACCCCATATAAGGGGGGGTTCATCGAGGAACCTCCTTAGTTGGTGGGGTTCTTGCAGGAACCTAACTGCCCAACTGAAACATTTTGATTTGAATTTGAAAGGACAGCAGGTACAAGGCACTTAACTGAAATATTTAAAGATCTCCTCAATTTAAGGTAAGGTTTGTCCCTTGTATGATCTAAATTGATATTGTTTTATAATGATACCATCTATCTTTTCATATATGTGCAAATCTTTCTAAAACAGAACATTGACAATTCAATGGATATCAATCAACAAAGAGGTAAGAATATGTAGGCTATAAGAATATGTTAAAGGCTAGCTGTATTGGGTGCAGATGACTGAACTGCTCACTTTTGTGTGCAGGTATACAGACGAGGAGGTATGTCAATTGGTATTGGTATGTTATGCTGATCACATTTACCATCCTCCTCCCTTACCTCTTCAATGAATATCCCATAGGCCTCTACATTATGGACAAGGTATGGTATGTGTATGAAAACCATTATAAAAACAGTTTTTTAAATTCACATTTACCACAAAAACCAAGGTATGAATACTGTTGTGTGCATGTTTTGTTAATCATCTGTATAATTACTATTTTGGAGATAGTTTTGAACGCAGCAGAAGTCATGCTGGATTGACAGCATGGCCAATGTATTCAACCTTTACTTTGCATGGCAGTTAGCCACTGATTCCTTCCAAACCACTCATTGTTGATTTCCAACATATTGTGTAATGTTGGCAGATGAGCACCGATACGTTTTATCTATAATTTATCTTCATATGACAAGGATTTAAAAGGATTTGCCAGTAGATTATCAACGTGATTCATGATGATGACTGCTTGTCTAGCTAGCTAGCTAAGATTTTGAAAGTATGATGTGACATGATCAGTCCAATCAAAGCTATGGTAGATATAATGTGATTTGACAACATTTTATCTGTGGCCAATGACCTTGAGCCTTCTTGGATGGTGATAGATTAATTATTAATGACTAATTATTACACCCTGAAACTGTGTATAATGTGTTAGAAATGTGTGAGTGTAGGACCAGTAAGATACCATTGAGCTACTATTTAGCAATGTGAGTAAGAGTTAGACCAGACAACAATGGAGAACTGTCTAAACCAAGATAAAGGGGCCTCCCAATTTAGGAAGGATGCGATATCTGCACCTGGCCGAGCAAGGAGTGGGAAAAGATAAGAACAGTGATGGTCAGGAGAGCAGAGGAAAACATGAGCTGAGCCGAGGTGTGTGTGTGTTTACAAGATGTGTATAGTGGAAAAATACAGGCCGCCTAAGGGGGGGGGGCAGGATTTTTAGTATGACTTATGTGTATAAAAGGATTGTACCACCATTTTGTTTCAGAATTCTCAATGAATAAATATCTCTGACTATGCAGACCGGGACTCTGGCCGTTACTTAAATCCCAAAAGATTTACAACCTTTTGGGAGACGCACAGAGACACTAAAATAGTTTGTTAAATAATTCACTTAACAGCTTGGTCCTTCTGAGCCGGACTCCAATACCCTGTTTCTGTCATTCCAGGTAACTCTGAAAACCGTCAACGGGCGAATGATACATTCGTAAATAGAAAGTCCTGCCCTTTGACATTAAGGGTTAAAACAGGCCAGAGGACACCTGATTAATGACGGAATCCAAACCTACATTGAATCTCGGCTGCAAGGATAAGGTCAGTAGTCTTTATTCATTACTTGGTGAAATTGATTTGAGAACTTGCTAAAATATTGAAAAGTAGCAAATTGATCAATGCGTAGCCATTTTAAGTGAAATGTAGGGGACTGTCAGGAATTATCAAGATTACATTGTGAGGATAGACTCCTCCGTAGAGTAGGAGATAATTCTGGGGGACTAGTCAACCTGTTGGTGGGTCCGTAACGATTCACGGTAATAGGCCATTACCAAAATAAACTACCCGGTGTTGAAATAGAAGGAACTATTAAAAGTACACCTATGGGATGGAACCTGTAAGAGATTAATGAACAGTCAACAAATAATCCGGGTTAAACAAATACAAAAAGTACACCAGAAGGAATTAAAATAGCATGTGTGAGAAATAGAATATTAGTAAAGTCAAAAGTCACAAACAACTGTAGATTTTGCTGTAAACTCTATCCGTTCTGGAGCCTTATAAACTCCATGTTACCGATATAACACCAATAATCATGTAAGGTTGTATACGTGTGAGACCTAATGTTTACTCAGAAGTCACATCTATGAATAATTCCAGGTGGTTGTATAGAGGAGGGAGAACCCATTCCTGTTGTATGAGACTGTCAGGAATTATCAAGATTACATTGTGGGGATAAAATCCTCCGTAAAGTATGAGATAATTCTGGGGGACTAGTCAAGATTACATATACAGGAAGGGGTGATTCAAGGTGTTGTTGTGTGAAGCTGTTTTGTATTACTTGTTAAATTGACTTGTTATATAGAAGAGGTGGCTAAGGGATTTTTAACAGTACCAACCATGGGGGGCAAATCCTCACAAGAGGTCCCAGAATTTACTGGGGACGAGAAATTCATGGAAATGCGAGACAAACGAAATGTGTATTATGGGCATATTTGGAGAAAGAAATATGGCTTTAATGGGCGACTTGATGTAATTAAACTGGAATCCATGATTAAACAAATGCATGTAAATTGTGGTACTGATCTAAAGAAACAGAAAAG